TCTCATTTGTCCTCAAATAGCACCGCAGTCCCATAAAGGCAAATCGCTGGCTAATAAACTCACAATAAAGGCTATCTTACAGTATTACAGTATTTTACTCTACAACCTTCCCTGACCTCGCGTCTCTTCCCTTTACTCTCGCCTTTGTGTCCGCTACATGTAACGCCAGGGGACATCCTGTCAACTAGTGAATAGTGACTGTTCATCTCCGGGTACAGCTGTGCCCTCAGTGCCGTCTTTGTATGAGCCATATTCTCTAAGCAAAATGCCATCCCAGTTGTTGTGAACCCCAACCTGCTTCTTCTTCCACTATTCAAGAGCTCAAATATTCAGCACAATTCAGCAAATTCTGTCCCCGGAGTTTGGTTCGAAGCTCAAGGTCGACGTGTGGAGTTGTGATTGTAGTTTGAAGGTTGGAGCTTGAGTATTTGCTGCATCATTAAACTCCCATTTAAACAGGAAAGACTAGTCCTTTGTAACTTTCTTGAGTCTTTAAGACACAAGGACTTGCTGACTCTTTAGTTTTGGGAAAAAGTTCAAGATAATTCTCTACCAGTTCTGTAATCATGATAAAAACATACAGATAAACTCAATCTGGGTTTTATTGGTTCGTGGCAATCCACAACAGGACTTCAACAAACTGTTTCCTGCACGTGCACAACTTACAAGCTGGATTGATGGAGACAAAGTCATGTAGAGTTTGTCATCAAAAACTGACAATCAGGACAATTAACACTAGGAGGTAGAGAATAGAAGTAACTTTTAAACTAAAGATTTGTTATTATGGTCAAACTAAAGAAAGGTAATATGAGTACGTATTCAGTTCACACTACAGCACTGCTCATCACCATGCTCATACCATCTCCACGGTGAAGCGTGGCAGTGCCAGCAGCACTTGTTATGGGGATGGTTTTTTGCCAAATACGGAGAGGACCTTGAATCACCTGCTGCAGGGAGAACAAAACCTTAGACTGGGAGACGGTGACCCAAAGACAGCCAAGACAGTGCCGGAGTGGTTTTAGGACAAGTTTCTCACTGTCCTAAAGTGGCCAAAGATAAACAGCAGGCATTTCTTGTGCAAAAGCTTATCGAGACTTACCCAAGAAGACTGAATGGAAGATTTCAGTTTTAAGATTTTTTAATAATTTAGCAAAGACTTCTGGAAAAAACATCTGTGTGTATAAAAAAACTTTTTTTAACCCTGACATATTTGTATTCATAGAATTCGTGAGTTTCTTAGAGTTTCGGCTCCCGATATTTTCCTCAGGTACCGGCAGGAAAAGTAACGGTAAACGTCTGATGCATATGACCTGCAAAATTGCATCCTCACATACACCATTTCAGGAAAAAGGTCCGGAGTTCATTGCATGCCTGAAAGCAGCTTAGTACAGTTATTTGACTTGCCTGCACCTTCTGTGAAAGTCCCACAGCGAAGAAAATGAAGTGTTCTCAGGTACCGCTCTAGTTCATCATCAGGATGTTAACCACCACACCAGTGGTAACTCTGGAGAGACCCGAGTTCACCGAATATTCTGTCTGGCACAAACAGTTAGTAGAGTTACAGGCCTGCTGTTGTCAGCGCAGCAGATGGCTGGTGTTAGATTCCGAGATGTACTTCAACAGGTCGGATCGATGCCGTTCCTCTTCCAAGAGCAGATGTGATTGGTGCAACTTGCTGCAACTCTCCCACTCCCCTTTTCCATCAGCACAGGAAAACACTACCAGACACTTACTGTAAACAGATATACACACCAACACACTTATTGTAAAACACACGTATACACACACACACACGTATACACACACACACACACTCACACACACACACACACACACACACGCACAGTCCCAAAGAAAATTGGATGTTTGAGCCAGGCTCCAAGCAGCACTCAGTGAAAGTCAAGTGGTGACTCAGCAGACAGATAACAGAGAGAGGGAGTCGCAGCAGACTGGGTTTAAAGTCAAGGTGGAGAGCTCGGTACATGGAAACAAAGAAACAATTCTTTTAAAGTAAAAGTGTCAAAGAGTAAAAATGACCATAATCCAAGACGCCCGTCTTTTTGATCATCGTGTATCAACCCAGAAATGACCTGTCTGCCTCTTTTTTTTTTGCTCGTTTTCTCTCTTCCGTCGTTTATCTCTGACCTCAAAGCAAACACGTTATCATTCTTTTACTCTCAGTCCTCAATGATTTGAAGACTCACTTCTGCCTGCTCCCTCTTCCGTCTACATCTCAGCTTTCCTGTGTTGTTTTTTTCCCTCTCTTCTTTTTTCTATCTGTTTGACTCCCTCCTCTTCTCCCTCCCTCTGTTTCTCATTATTGCCTCCATAATGAGGTCACAGCACAGGGTCAATAAATAAAAAAAACATTCAATTCAAGGGCTTATCTGAGCCCTTAATTAAATACTGTTTTGTCTGTATCTATAATGCACAAATAAAAGCATTTGAATTTTGATTGCATTTCCCCATATTTTTCTTGGCTCCGAGCTAATTCATTAAATAACAGAATTGAGTTGTATGTTCATGGGCTCTTTAGCTAAGAGTGCTCAGTGCAACTCTGACTTTTCCCTTTTTTTCTCCATCAGTTTGGAGGTTGCAATGTTTTTACACAAACTAGCAGACCATCCATGCACCCACTTATACACATGAATTCTTTGGGTTTTTTTAGAGGCTAATTACGTAAAAAAGTGGTAAGTGAGATTCATGACACGTTGCAGACACAAGGTCGCACATCATTCTTTGTGAGGCGGGCAACAGAAGCTGCCACTATTGGATCAGCACTGCTTCATTAAGTCGCCACACGAGACATTCTGCTACTAACGCCCGTGGACGGCAAGATGGAGACAGAGATCGGAGAGGGCCGAGGAAGGAGAAAAGCTGGGAGGGAGAGAGACACGGGAAGTGGAGGGAAAGGGATGAAGGAAGGAGGGGAGAGAACCAAAATGATCGAAAAAACAAAACCACTCTCAATTATCTGTGATTCCAGGTTTGTGAAAGGTTTTTTTAAGGAAAGATAATCTGACAAAAGGAAATGCATTAGGGGAAATTGCCTGCAGCTTCCTGTTAACGCTGCCTCGCTCAACACTTCCACAACAACTCAGGCTGTTTGTTTGGCAACCACTCAGCTCACAACATCCAAAATCCTGAGATTCATTTCCATTTATTCGTCTGATCATTCAACCATCTGTTCGTCATATTTTCCCCGACAACTGTCACTGTTATTCCATTCGATAAGAGTGGAATCATCAGAGTAATACAAAACACCAGGACCGATCATATCAGCCTATTGACAAAACTCATATATCTGGTATATATGGATACCTAACACCAGTGAACTGTAGAGAACTGTAAGCCACTGACAAACAGATGATGCTGGTGCTATCTGGTGGCTGCACTGTGCATCACATCCTTGATCAGCATCATGGTTTTCATTTACCTTCATGTGACCGGACATCTAAATTTAAATTTGCATATAATGGTGTTTTCAACCCTTTTGGCCTATTTTGCATCTTCACATGCAGGAAGCTGTGGACCTGCTGCATCAGGACTTCAAGGTCTAATCAGCCACATTAACCGAAAACATGTATAAACCAGGTGTGGACAAGGACGTACATGTAGGATAGTTCATTATTATTTATCAAGCTAGAAATGCTTATATGGACCTTGTCTCCTTCACACTGTGCTAATATTAGGTGAATTAATCCCCTCAACCTTTTGAAGCACATTTCTCTCAAAGAAGAGAGGCACACACTTCTATCTCAATTAAAATCTTTGCTGCTAATTAGAAGCTTCAGTGAGGAGGACAAATTGACACGTCATGCATAGACATTTCTGAAATGTGGTTTTAATGAACACCAGACTCGATATGGAGTCACAGAGTGCACTGGAAACTCTAAATATATATCTGTGGCATCGTGGGCTAATGTCTCTCGTTCCCACGTCCCCCTTTCCACTGTCCGCCCTCTTCTCTTCTCTCGTCTCTTCATCAGTTTCATGTGTACGAGAGCATAAATCCCTTGCAGCTGATTGGCTGTGTTTCCCACTGACACTTTTTCCCATCACACACAGAGGGCTAACGGACTGTGAGGAGATGTTTGCTGAATTTGAAATAATTTGCTTCATAAGAGTCCCACCTTTAACCTCTAATATAAATTCAATTTTCAGTGTAGTTGCTAAATGGCTAGTTATAAAAATGACTGTGATGTATTGAACAAATCATTTACTGTGGTTTTCAGAGTACCTTTTGTTTCTATTAGTTTTCAGGGCCTCATCTTCACAACTCACAAAAAAAAGTATATCGACAAAACAAGGCCAATTATTTTATAAGTATAATTTTAACATACATTAATTGAAATATTTGTGGGACGTAAATAAATACATTTGCTTTGTTAAATTAAATTTTTCATGTATCTGTACTGTAATTTAGTATATTTACTTTAAGGTACTTTTACCCCACAACATATATCATGGCTTACATGTTCACATTGTCTTCATATATATTTAAGTAATTAATAATGAGAGGGGGACACACCACCAATATATAATATGTATAGAAAGGGTTAGGGTTAGTGTGCAAATACTTATTTATATTTTTGTGACATAATTATGTTTGACATAATTGCAAAGTCAAACTAACAATAACCACAGACGTATATGCATTATTTTATCAATAATTGCACCTGATAATATGCAATAAGACCGATTTTTACTCGTCAGTATTTCTAAATTAGGATTTTGATTGCACAACTTTTACTCATAAGAGTATTTTTACATTGTAGTATTTAGAAAAGCAAATGATCTGAACACTTTATCCATCATTTTATATTTAGTGTGCAGACATGTGAGTGACATTGAGCTCCTCATGTCACTTAGCGACATATTTTTAAAGTGTATTAAATGTCACACTGTTCCTTTGATTACACGGACTGACCTTTAGCTGCAGTACAGTGCAGTAAATTAAATAACCAAACTTAATTTCAGTTAATTTGTAGTTTTTTATTTCATTTTTTTATTCATAACAGCAAGAATCAATATAGCAATACAGGCCTCGTGAAACAATGTGCCAAGAACCCTCTTCTTCTCTCATCTATCAAAGTTGGCACACGACAGGTTCTGTTAATTACATTCATGACTTCAGCTATTACATGTAGTTAATAAAACCTCAGCAAACTCATTCACACCAGGTTCAGAAGGTACCGCTCTCCACCTGTGTTACACATCAGCTCTCTTCACACACGTTTCATTCTGATGAGATGGTATTTTTATGGCTTTAGACTGTGACAATCAGTGGTTTCTTTCTTTCTACAGCAGGTGAGAGGCATTGCAGACGTGACACATCCTTTCAGGGGGCCTGGAACAGTAAAACAAGCAGAAACAAACCGTGGCAGAGGACAGAATACATCATATTGGCACTACAAGCAGAGAAAACAAACAACAAACAAAGAAAAATAAAAAGGTTCAGTTTTACACTATATCGTAAACGTAAGCATGCGTGCTTGTAGAAGATGAGAGATGACGAGAGATGATCAGGACAAAATTTCTAACTGACGACTTTATGACCAAACCACTCAGAAGTATTTCCGTTTGAGAATATTCTCTTTGTTAAATTCTACCTGATGTTGAACTACATTCCTGTTTGGTCAGTTTCATCTACTAGAAGCACAGCTTACATGAACAGAAAGAACATACTTATAACTATGGTGTTTGTGTTGCATGTATTTTAACTCTCCAAGTGGTGAAACTTTAGCGAGTATATTCTCAGGAATCGTTTTTTTTTTTCTCTAAATAAACCACTATTCTATTTTTGTATTTTTTTATATATATTTTATTCCATTACATTGATAGAATATTGTATACTGTAAATACATCTTTCTGTGTAACATGTTTTCTTATTCAATATTACTGTGTCATGAGTTTTCTTTTTTTTAAACGGTATATGTATTTTCCTTTAACATGCATTCCTCTCAGTAAAGTAAAGAGACAGGACATGTTGTGATTGGTTGGGCCTGGGAGGGCGCGGCCATGACACACAAACCTGTCCACACAGGCAGGTTCGGGGACCAGACAAACCCAGTCAGGCCCTCACGCTGGAGGGTAGTGGACGCCTCCTCCGGAAGGTTACCTGGCAAACTACAAGCTGCTGACAAAAAAGAAGAGCAACACTTGGCCTTTTTCTGAAACGGGTAGGAGCGTGAGAACTCAGTGCCCTTTTTGATGCAAGCAATTTTGTTCAGCCTTTCACAAGATTTTTTTTTTGTTATCCTAGCAAAATTCCTTGTCGTCATAGACATAATTTTTTTTTTATTCAAAATAAGATCTCAATATACATGATTCTCTCTTTTTTGACTATGTACAGAAGTGCAAAAAAGTCAACCTTTATCGCCTCGAGATTTCCCCGCCCCACCCTCGTTGTTTGCAGTTGGCTGAGGAGGAGACGAGCGCGCGTACTCGCTTCACCTGATCCCGCCGGCAACGATGCCCCTGAAAAAGTGATCAAATATGCAGCTTGTTTTCCAACATGGCCCAATTTCCAGGGAGAGTAAAAATATTAAAACAATAGTTTACTATTTGAAATGGATACAGTAGAAAATAACATCTTTACTCTAAACATCTAAGAACTAGATTTTTATAATATTCTTTTTTTATCTTATTATTTGACTAGTTACAAACCTTACAATCATTAAAATATTACTCGGTTATCGGCGACGGTTGCCACAGTGACAACTCTGCCTCTCTGTTCTATTAGTTCATCACTGTAAGATACTCATATAAAACATCTTTGTTCAAAGAGGACAAAAAAAGACTAGGGAAATGAACAGTATGCATACAGTTCAACAATATGCATAACGTAGAAAATATTGAGTTTACAATCATAATCATACTAAAATTAACATTACATGGAATTTCAGGAAACTGTGCATGAGGAACACACAAACACACACTTTTTTTTAACCTTATATTCATTATAAGAAAGATAAATATTATAAGCCAAATTGAAAATTAGAACTAAGTCATGTCATCCAAACAAAATAAAGTGAAATACTCCTCGTCTAAAGGAAAACCTACAGCAAGGTTAAGAAAACACTGACAAAAAAAGTGACAATTACATAGTGCTCTGTGTGTGTGTTAATATGGCGTGGATTAGGCAACTGGATGAGTCAAAATGGCATGTTGCATTGTGCTGACCCGATGGTACATTCTAAGGCTTTGGATGAGTAATACAATCGTTTATATTCTTGCCACTTTCCCTGTACTATCCACAGATTAAATATGCCTGAAGAACACCCAGAACACAACGACAACAGAAAGAAAATTATTCTAGAGATCTACTCTAAACACCCGATCCTTCTGTGGACTCGACACCCACGCGTTTTTTAAAAGTCAGCCCCTCTGCTCTACCCACAATATCTAATAACAGTGACACAAAAAACTTTGGCTGACTATCTGAAAACAGCTCTCAGGTAGATGTATTTAACAAATATTCATAAATATGTCAGACTATATACACACACACACGCACACACACACACGCATACACACACACACACACACACACACACACACCAAACTAGCTCTACCTTTACAACCTGCCTTTAAAATATGCATAACCATACAAATGAACAGGTCATGCAAATCACATATCCATCGCCAGTTGCACCGTAGATTTTGAGTAGTGTGTCTCACAGCAGTTTGAATACCGACTGATCGCCATGTTGGTTCAAAGCTATTCGTTATATCGTAACGCCATCATCACTACTGGGAGAGTCTTTGGTCTCTCGCTCAGGCGGAGACCTCCCATGCAACTCATTTAATTTTTAGAGTCAATAGACTAAACGAACACAACTAACCTAAACAGTGAAGAATTAAAAATCTAAAAATCTATTCATTCAGTAGATTTGAGTAAAGCAGACAATCTGGGGGAATCTAATCAGCAGGGGCTCTGTTTGGAATCCCAGGTACTGACAGGTCACGGCGCTGGACGCTACATGTTGCCCGTGAGAGAAAAATGAGAAGGATTAAAGGGAATCTTTGAGTTTGATACTTTGCAACACTGCTTGAATACCATTCGTGTGTTTGAGGGATGTATGGCACTTTACAGGGACACCTGTAAGGTTAAAGACATGTGCTTAAAAGACAGAAAGGTAGGCTACAAAGGTTTGAAAGACACCTCACACACATTCAGTTGCTATTTTACATCTGAGTGCCCTCATGTAATTTCCCTTATCATTGGTTTTTAACAGAATAAAATCGTAACGAAAATCAGCGTGCATGCATATGTGATTCAGTAAGATCATTCGTTTTCTTTGAACTGAAATACAAGGTGCACCTCTGTGTAAACAAATGAACACGTTTAAGTCAAAGACCAACAATCGATGAGCTAAACAAACACCATAAGTCATGATTCTTGGTCAATGGACGTACCAATCCAGCAGTCGATTGTTTTCCTCTCGACTGCTCCACGCGTTTACCTCATTTTCACATTCAAAGTGTGTCCGGTGAATAAAGGTAAGTGGCCTCTACAGAGCGAAAGGCAGTCTGTAATGCAAATTATGTTCTTTTCTGTTGTTGTCGTGTAATAGTGTGCATGAAATACACAAGAAAACGATTCTGACAAAACTGTGCCTCCTAAGTTAACATGCAGATTTATTCCAAACCAGTCCAGGTTTTGGTTCCTCTTCGCTTGATGTTACAGGCATGAAGGGTGACTGCTCATCTCAGAATCCTCGCCAGCACACTCCCGTTCCATCTGGAGAGACGGCCACAGCACGCAACCAATTACAAGTAGATCACAAGCGCAGTTTGTAACAAAGAGGTTGAGTTTGTAATTGTCTTGAAATCTGACCCTGTTGTTTGACATCACGAGCAAAGTTTCAACAATAGAAACACAAAAACATAAATCCTGGACAATTCTGCAAAAGCCCAAACTACGACATACTTTTATCTCTACTGACAAAATATATTACATGCTACGTTATGATTAATGTCATGGTTTTTGTCAAAATACCAGGATGGGTTAGGCAAGTAAAACAGATTTGGTTTGACCTTTGCTGCTGCAGTCACATCAGTAACAATCTTTTTCTAACAGTAACGATTGTGGTTGCTGATGTGCCTGCAGCTGTAGACATCAAACCAGATGCACCATAGAATTCTACATCCCCTCCAACGTGTGTGTGTGTGTGTGTTCATTCAGTTATAAGCAGTGTGAGTGATTGGTGGCTGCACCGAGGCCACAAAAATCTAGTGTAGAGCGAATTTAATCCAAAGCTCCCTCTGTAGATTTGTGGAATACTGATCTGAATTGGTGTTAATGTTAAATGATAATGACGTAACATTCAGTTTGTGTATCAATTCACATAATTGTCATATAAGGATAATTCAATTTACTTACTTCTGCGTTTTTAAACTTCTTATTTATTTAAAAATTACAAACAAACAGTTTGTTAGTTACTACAATTACGCAAAAATGACTCAACACATTACCATGAAACTTGGTGGGAGGATGCAGTATGAGTCATTAAATCGTGGTGCGGATGCAGATCAGGGGACAACTTTCTTTATCACAATGTTAAAGCATTGCGAGATAGCACTTTAATATTTTGCTAGAATAATTGATGGATCTTAATGAGAAAATGTCTATGAGTGTGTCAAACATGCTGCAGATCCAAATAAAAATCGGGATATAGTGAATATAAATCTGGCTTCATCAGGGGACTGTTGGGCCTTGGCAGAGCTATGCCATCTCTGAGTGCCATTCTAGTTGTTTTTTTATAGTTTGGTTTGTTTAGTTGTTTTTTTATGGATTACAGAAACATAAAACATGACTTTTTATTTTCCTTTTACATTGCTAGTCTTGGCAAAGTCGCCAGTTATTGGCTGTTGCTTCGCATTTAACCTACAGACAGCAACTAAGATTTCCCAAACTGCCAAACTATTCCTTACGTTTCTACATCTCTTGAACAAGCAGGACAGAAGCTAAGGTTTTACGAAAAGACATTTGACTTTGTTGCCAAAGAAAATGTCTTGTGTTGCAACTCATTCACGTCACAGTTACAAAGCTGTTTGGGAGAAAAATAATAATGGTACATACTGTTCTGATTGAGACTCCTACATCTGGGTCACATACTTGTGACTAGTCAGATGCTCTGCAGATATCATTGGAATCTGATTGAGAGGGAGGAAAAGAGGGGGAGAGAGGGAGGGAGATGAAGACATTAGTTGAAATGAGGGCAAACACCACTTCAACCTAAATTGATGTTAAAATAAGTATAGTGCATATCTGAATAAACACATGCTCTGAATAGCTTCTCAAGACCAAAATGAGCCATGTGCATTCATCAAGAGGCCCTTTCAAATCATAAAAACTAAACAAAATAAACTGACATTGAAAAGTCACAAGTGAGAGAGATCAGAGGAGGAGCAAACCTGATTGGCTGTTGCGGTTGCAAAGGGAACACTTGTGGCAGATGTGGTGGCTGCAGACACAGTGGCTGGAGTAGCACCGTGCATCATGGGTACTTGGAGGGAAAGATCACAAAGGCAGTTGAACCAGAGCAGATTCAAAGTTTTTTTTTTTTTTTTTTATGTAAACACTTAATTTAAGCTTCTGTCTATAGAATGCTAATAAACATGAGAAAATCTATTGATGGTTTTTAATTACTCTTCAAATCTTTTCATACTCTTCAAAATTTGAGTTAAGAAATATACATGTGGGGAAAGAAACATCTCAGAAATATTTTGGAGCACAAGGTAACTGGAAAATTGAAGAGAAAAATGCAAACAGTATTTTAGAACAATTAAATGCAAGTCAACTGGCTGATAACCTCTAAGAAAACAGAAAAAACATACAATAAAATTAGAATAACCATAAAGGAATATTACAAAAACTAAACAATTACTACTACCTATCTACCTATACCTATCTATATGGCACATACAACGGCACAGTAGAAATTAAAGAGCTGAGGATGAAGCAGGGGATTTTAAACTGCAACAAGCATTTGGTGACAGACACACTGGGGCAGAGCAAAGACAAGTTCATTCCAAACCACTGAGATAGTACACAAACGACTCCAGAGTGAAATTACACAATCAAGTGCATGTTTTATCAGCCATCCTGTAACTTACACTGACAGAGAGAAGTCTAAAATCTGAAAAATGGAGAAAGTGCTCACATCATGTGGTGAGTTGAATGAAACGTGAGAGACCAAAATGGGCTCAAAGAATAATGGGTAAGGAAAACTGGCACCTACCAACACTTGTTGCAGGTGTCATGCACAATATCGAGCCTGCCCATCATGCATTGCAACAGCGAGTGGAGTGAATAGAGGGGAGAAGAAATCAAGAAAACTCATTACAAGTGTTATAAAGTCAAACAGTATTGGATTAAAACTGTGCTCAATACATTAACCCTTTTTACTTCAAATTGATTATATACAAATACTGATTACTGATAATTACACAGCACACACACACATTCTTCATGACAAAGGAAGCGTATGCATGAACCCTCTGAGCAAGGAGAGTTGTGGTCGTCTGCCCGTCCAGCCCCAGTTCACTGTTTCACTGCTCCATTAAGTGAGGGGCAAATTAAACGTCCCCTCATTTTGCTGTTAGCAGCACGGCAGCTGTCTGCACGGTGGTGGCTTTGAGTGACCTGCTTTCAGAGTCCTCTGAGTGTGTTGCACTGACCTGACAGTCGAATAGCGTCAAACATGTGAGGATCTGAGAAACAGAATTGCTCACAGACGGGAATCGATGGCAGGGTATTCTTAGGCTGTCAGATGAAAATATGGGACGCAGTGTAAGATGATTATGTGGTGGCCAGAGAAGAGTGGTTCGAATAAGCGCATTTAAATGTATATTTAGGTCAACATTTTTACTGGGGATGGAGGGGAGGCACGTCCCTTCAGTTTTCAAAAACAGTTTCAGTTAGATTCCCTTTGAAATGCATCTTTCTAAACTGTGTCATCTGTCAAAATTAGGTCAAGAGAAAAGAAAAGTGCATTCAAATGTTGACTGATTATCTCATCCACCTTGTTATTCTGGCTTTTAATAATAAGCTCCACAGTGGTTATAACTGTCAGTTGTCAATAATAACAATAATAATAGTTGATACATGATATATAGTTGTAGATATATGGATTCAACTAATTGAGATGTATATTTCCATGTGTTTTTTGTTAATTGTCTGTTTCAAGAGGATTACGCAAAAACTGCTGAACAAATTCCACGAAACTTGGTGGGAGCATATGTACATGGGCCTTTTTTGACATTTTCACAGATTTCTTATGGAACGATAAATGGATCTTTATGTGAAAAAACAGACATATTGAGGGATTTGATATCTACACTGTATGAGTGTGTGAATGTTTGGCTTGATTGGATTTAAGGAGGCTGTCAACTCCATTTAAAGATGTTAAATTAAGCCATTTACTAGT